GCCGGGGTCTCAGATTGCTTTTGGGAACCCCATCATTGACACAATATTTCATTTTTTATACAACAGAGCCAGCGAAGCCGGTTGTTGGAAGTTTCTTCGCAGGTAAGAGTATTTAGAGCAAGGCTCCGTTGGGCCCGCATGCCTGGCTGCTGCTGTTTGGTTGGCCGCCTGCGTTCACCACTCCTTGAATCATAATAAAATATTCCGGGATGTCCGGAGCGAATGAGAAACGCGTCAGGAAACGATATTTCATGGAAATGGCTTTCATACAGAAGGATATCTTGCGCAAGCAGAACCTTGCAATAGTACTCGCCAAAGATCATGGTGATGTATATCCTCTCTCTTCATCACGCTGGCGTTTGCGCTGGTTCTGTTCTTCATCAATGTGCACCACCGTGTAATCTGGACACACAGTGGCTTCGTCTGCTTCTGGATCTAGGAGTTGGTTTCTGCGTTCTCTCACCTGTAGGCTCTTGACCTCTTGGCCCAATGGAACACACGGGCTACGATGCAACCGGGTACGCCGCAGAAGGTGTCGGTCCCGAGCGCGGTCTTGGACCCATGGTGGAGTGATGCTTCAAGGAGGGATCTCTTGGATGCTGCGCACCTTGGGGAGATCTTAAGGTTGAGCGGGCTTGCCTGCTGTCCATTGAAGACTTCCTGCCAGCGAAGTCTGAACCGCCGGAAGCTGTGGTTGTACGAGCATCTTCTTTCTGCCAAGTCTTGCGCGCGCGCGGAATTTGCATCTCCTGTCAGGGTCGACCACCAGTTTCAACCCCCGCCCCCGGTTCACGAAACTTGTCATGTTTGTGGTGACGTCTCTAAGTTTCGCCTTCACGATCTGTTGTTGAATGTGTTGCAAAAACTTGCGCTTTCGTATCTTCGGTGTCGCCGCCTTTCACGAAACATCCGGCCCCTTTCCATCCTGTTTGAACTAGTAAGATCCCTCTGTGTCCGGCCTTTATGAAGGCGTTCTGCGTGAGTGGGTTCAGGAGAGAGGACATGAGCTAAATTGTCTTGGACCACGCCCAAGAGACAACCCCCTGCTTTCGATTGCCTTGCTATCGTGGACATCTCTCGAGTCAACGTTAAGACGTTGAGACAGGCTGGATGTCTGGGTTCCCGACATGTCGCCGCCTGCCCGGATCTTCTTCGTCTTAGACACGCACGTAGGATTGTTGGGGTCCTTTTGCTTCCGATATGATATGGAACTTGATGCTAGCCATCGAAGATTGGCTATACCCTCAGGTGAGCTGAAATTTCGGGATATCAGTGGGGACTGTTTGTTGACCTTGTTTCCACATCCACTAGTTCGTCCACGAACGTTGTGCAAAATCTGGCAGAATAACCGTCAGAACTTTGTTTCATCTAATTATAGTCATTTTCTACAAATATGCTATATAACACTTGCGCAAGAAAATGTAAACACATAGAAACAAACATCACATTTAGGACAAGCGGTTCGTCTTCAAACTTTACAGTTAGTTTACCTGAAGAGGTTCATTTGGAAGAACACTTAACATGGCAGACCCACGACATCTCACTCCCTAACAATTGGGTTTCAATCATCTTAAACTATAACATCAGTTTATATTGCTTTGAAGCTGCGTTGAACACTGAACCGGACACCGAGAGTATTTTCATTCGCGCTGGAGGAAGGTAGTTACACGCCAACAACATTAGCGTCTCACATTCAAGACATGTTAAAACTCGGGCCTGAAGTTCCAAAGAGTGTAAGGAATAGTCTTCGCATGACTTCAAATCATCCACCATCGTGGTTCCTTTTGAGTCCTGACCGATGAAGGTGTTGTAGTTTACAAAGGTAACTTTACACGTTTTTTACACATGTTGATTTCAAAAACCTAAGTTCGCTAAACAGAGTCTTGGCCAACTATGGGCTGACAGCGGCGGCAGTCCATTCGTTGTCATGACCTTTTTATAGCGGTTTTGATGACCCACAGCCCTCATGACCCATTCGTTGTGATGACCCTCGTTCATTGCAATGATTTGTGTAGCTACAACCAACTAACTATTCTCGGATTCTCTGGAATAGTCAAAAAAGTTCCTGTGACTAGCGTATGCACTAACTGGTGACCAGGGTACAGTTATAGATTTCAACTTTGTTAACACAAGGTTTCAATAACATTCTTATCGTTTCAAGAATATCACTTTATCTACAAAAACGACGAATTAAACCGACTTCCATGAAGTTGTTGATCTGAGCGAGGATGAAGCGCTCAAAACAAACGAGGAACACGAAGAAGTACTGTAACTGAATAAGCCGAACCACAGAACAACAAGAAGCAACCAGAACCAGAACCAGAGCCAAAACACAAAGGAATTGCAAATGCAAAGGTGCCCCCGCACATGACTGAACGCCCCAAATGCAACTTATACCAGCATAGACCCCGGATAGCAAGAATGTACTGTCTGCCAACACGCTAAAGATGCCCACTGCAACACAGAGGCGCCCGGCAGAGCGGCCAAAATAGTTTGAGTGTTCCGGCAATCTTTCGGTGGATTTGCTGAATGTGCCTCCTCTCAGAGATGCGCTTCCGTTGCCGCCTGTCAGATGGGTGTGCCAACGCCAGAAGAAAGGGCTCCGCAAAGATGTGGGGAACCCTCCAACAGCGCTTTGTGGAAGTCCGGATCTTGGCCTGAGCGTGCACAGCACCCTGCAGCAGCACCTCTGCGCGACGCGAGTCTGGACGCCCGCGACACAACCCTGCAACAGTACCCTGCCCAACTCTGCGTCTTGGCCTGCAGCACGCCCTTCGACAGTGCAGGAACTCTGCGTCTTGGCTTGCGCCAGCACCCTGCGACAGCGCCCTGCGCAACTCTGCCACAAACAATAAGGCGTGTGTCAATTTCAATTTACAACAAAAGACCACCCCTGCGACATGTATCATTACCAAAACTATGATAATGACACGTTGAACCGGAAGGAATAGAATTTCCTGTAGTAATGATAGGTTTGAAAAACAAAACAAGCATGTGTCGGTAAATGTCTAGTACATCAGCCGCGACGCAAATAGTACAACCATCATGTTTTACAAAAGCAGCAAGAAGCCTCAAGCGCAGCACAAAATAGATTTGACAAAGTTGGCTAGTGACACTAAGTCACATTTTTCTAACCAGTGGTCAAACTAGCAAAAGAAACTCAACCGTATCATTGACGAACCTGCCCTCACGGTTTTCAAGCCGAAGAACCTCAAAGCAACACGGAGAAAACGGATGTCTAGCGGTGGACGGGCAACAAATTAAAATGCCAAAAGCGGGTGAAACTATAGCGTACCAAAACTATCTCAAGAAAGTGAAAGCGTCCGTCGTAACCTATGCCGACTTTGAATGCTTAACCGTTCCCATTGCTTTTGAAAGTAAACCGGCAAATGCGAAGACGACTTTGTAGCAAAATCACCACCCGTGCGGTTTCATGATTAATGTTGTCAATGCTCAAAGTCGCAGTAGCGTACCCTGTTTGTATAAAGGCGAGGATTGTGTGGACAAATTCGTTGGTAAAAAGTAGTGATGCCAGAGAAGATGTTATTAACGAAATGAAGGAAGTAAAAGATATAATTATGGCAGAAAAGGACAAGGAAGGTTTTGAACATGCTAGTAGTTGCTGCACCTGTGGAAAGGAGTTTAAGCCTGATGACAAGAAAGCTCGTTACCATTGTTGTTTTACTGGAATATATAGAGGTTGTGCGCATGATGACTGTAATCTCGCTTTTAATTTGAGATATTACAAAACCCCGTCTTTCTACAAGGCGCGTTGAACTGAACAAGAACTCAGCAATAGAACGCGTCGCTCAGAAAAGTAAAAGTTCATCACCGTCGGATTTCAAAAACCTTTATTGCAAAGACAGCTTCAGTTTGTTATCGTTTTCTGTGAACAAGTTTGTCAGGCTGAGTAAACACGGGAGTGCCTCAGACACGACCGCAGCACTTGCTTCGCGAGGTTAGATTGACAGGAGGAACAATTTTAGACACAGTGGTAGAAACCCTTGCGTGAAGATTGATGAAGATTTGGGTATATTGGCGGGTAAAGGGACTATAACTACTTTGATGGTTTTGATAGGTTTCAGGAAAGGGCTTTGCCGCCTAAAGAAGCGTTTAGCGGTAAATGACGTGAAGCACGCGCAAGCGACAAAGACGACGGACGTGCCTTGAAGATCTGGAACCAGGACGCTCGGGCAGTGTCATGACGGACGGATGTTTATTATTGACGGATGCGGTTGAAAACTTCAGGGGTTTATGTGTGGAATACGACGGCTTAGACCCCACTCATCATTGCACGCCCCCTAATCTGAAAACTGGAGTTGAGATGGAACAGACACACGGCCAAGAAATCATTTGAAATGATTGCAAAAGGAGTGAGCGGGGGCATGTGTCAGTCAGTCATCAACTGGCGATCGCAAATAATACGTGAAATGGAGTCTCAGAAAGCAAACCATCAAACTACATCAACTATTAATAATTAATTAATATAGACGCTAATATTTTGTATGGTCTAGCCATGTCTCACAAGTTGACAAAAACATCAAATGGGAAGAAAAACCCTGATATTGAAAAGTTGGACGAGAAGGTTGAGTTCGGTTTTACCCTAGGCTGAATTTGAATTCACGAGGAACTGCACGATTACCATTCAGATTGCCCACTAGCTCCTGAAATCACGAATGTGAATGTTGACAAGCTTTCAGATGATCGAAAGCAAGTCTACAAAACTGTTCTGATGGAAAAAGCCGAAGGATGAGAACACCAGATTAATACGAAACCTAAAAGACAAAGACAAATATGTGGTTCGTATTAAGACGTCGCAGTATGACCTAGAAATGGGTTGGGCAATGACCAAAGTTCATAGGAAAAAAGCATTGCAACAACGAGCATGGTTGAAGCCGTGGATTGATTTCCACACGGGTACAAGGAAAGACGCGAAGCGCCATTTCGCAAAGGGTTTGTTGAGGTTCATCAAGGACGCTGTGTACGACAAACGGGTAGAG